TTCACTCTTGACCCTAACAAAGTTCCTGAAGAATTTCCAAGATTCTTCACTTGATCACTTGACTTCCCGTTAATCATCGATTTGCTCGAGCAGGCGCCAGTAACATCTCCATTTGTCCCTGTCACGTGCTAGTGTAGCCCAATGGCGTTTGTACGTTCTAGGAACACGAAGAGTCTCAAACTGATAGAAGTAATTACAATGGGTCTCAAGATTCTTCAATGACCAAATGTTCTGATGAGCTGTTTTAATATAAATTAAATATAGTTTAACATGAATATAACAAGGATAAAAACTAGATTTCAGTAATGAGGTATTATAGCATATACAGGTGTTGATTTATAAAGCTATATACATGAAACCTATATAATATTATAAGCCAATGTTACTTCGAAAATTATTTTTAATGTCTCTTATGTGTGTGGCACAGTATGTAAAATAACCCCAGTGAAGAGACATCAATGGCTGGCTTCACTGTAGTGTTTATGATGTCCAAAGACTGAGGGTCTACTCCCTTTTCTGCACATAAGGATCAGATATCCTCACAAACGCTAATAATGAACCGATCAAGTTATCCTCAATGTAGACAGAACAGAGAACTTAGATTCAATTTTTATTTAATTTAGAGAAAAAGAAGATATTGTAATTTTATGTGTTTACAATAATTGATGGGCTGGAGCGATAGCACAGCGGGTAGGGCACTTGCCTTCCACACAGCAAACCGGGGCCGACCTTGGTTGGATTCCTCTGCTCCTCTCAGTGTGACCGGCAAGCTACTGAGAATATCGTACCCGCCCGGCAAAGCCTGGCCAGCTAACTGTGATGTATTCAATATGCCTAAAACAGTAACAAGTCTCACAATGGAAACATTACTGGTGTCAGCTCGAGCAAATCTATGAACAATGGGAGGACAATGCTACAGTGCTACAGTGATATAATAACTGATCAAGTATCACCTCTGCTATGTGTGGTATTTTGAGAATTCTTGTGCAATGCATATCCACATCTAGAGCCGGTTTCTGGAATCAAACAACTCATTTCAGTGAAACACAGATTATGAAAGAACTGATGTGAAAAAAGGAATGTAGATTATCTGAGAATATCAGCTCAATATAATTCTATGTATGGTTTTTCAGTCTTCAGACAGTCACTGGATCAGGGCAGAAGAGATAGAAACATATTCTTACTAGAATTCCTTCATAGGTGGCCGGAGTGACAGTACAGCTGGTAGGGCATTTACCTTACACGCAGCCCACCTGGGTTCAATCCCCGGCATCCTATATGATCCCCCAATCACTGCCAGGAGTAATTCCTGGGTTTAGAGTCAGGAATAATTCCTGAGCATTGGTGAGTGTGACCCCTCCAAAAAAAATGAAAAAAAAAGAAGTTACTTCATAGGATTATTTTCTTTTATGAGAATTCCTGAAAGGAAGGGTTATAGAAGGTGAATAAAGACTATCAGTTTTTATTTTTTTTGGATTTTTATAAATCAGTATAATGCTGACATCAGTTTATGTTATTGTGTACATTTAGGTTGTGAAACATTTAACATCTGTATACACTGCTAAGATCACCAAGAAATATCAGATATTTTTCTTTCACCACAGAGTTGACCTTTTTAAATCCATTTCACCCATCACATGCCTCTTCTCTTCCCTTTTGGTAACTATATTTTCTGAGGTTAAGGTTTTTTAAATTTATTTTTGTGTTTTCATATTCTGTGTGCAAGTGAATTAGTGAAATATTTTTTTCTCTGATTTATTTAATTTGATATAACTTCCTCAATAATTTTTCAATGTTCACAAATTTTGTGAAAAATGGCAAGATTCTTTTTTTTTATGTAGGAGTACTGCTATTTTTTCAGCCACTGATTAGGCTGATTGAATTGTGCACGAACTCCTCCTTACTTTTCCCCCCTCCCCATTTCTTATAATTTTTTATTGACTCACCGTGAGAGCAGTTACAAAGCTTTCAGGTTTAAGTCTAGGTCATACACTGAAACACCCGTACCTTCACCAGTGCCCATTCTCCACCACCAAAAACCCCAGTACACCCTCATCCCACATCCTCCCTCTTCCTGTGGAGCACATGATTTCCAAATTATTCTCTCTATTCTTTGATTACATTCAACATTTCAACACCTCACCCACCATTATTATTTGGGATTTTACCCCAACACTCAGATCTGCCGAAAAGGCAACAGTAGACAATTTGTTTTCTATTGCTGGTTATGAATAACATATGATGTCGCGTGGCTGCAGTAGTGGCCATGGGATTTTGAAATTTTGAAATTTTAACAATTAAATCTGGAGGGATTTCTTGCCAAAACCTGCTGGATTCTGAGATTTGTTTCTGAATCTCTGGGATCGTGGCTGTTAAGTAGCTTTATCAGGAGCCAGAGAGGCCGTTTGTGGGTGGCAACTTGGGGTCTCGTTGGGATGGGGAGGAAAGAGCCGGCTCACCCCCATTCCATAAGGCCCCGTGTGTCTCATCACTGTGGGCCCAAACCTGACTGTCTAATGGCCTCTGAAAGATGGTGGCCATCGAGCCACCTAGGGGGAGCAGGCGGAGGGACAACACCCTTTCCCCCCTGGTGTGGCTCGGCAACAGTAACCTACTGCATGATCCAAATGCATTTCTGCCAAAAGCCGCTGGGTTTTGAGATTTGTTTCTGAGTCTCTGGGATCATGGCCATTAAGCAGCTTGATCAGGAGCCAGAGAGGCCATTCAAGGGCGGCGACTCGGGGTCTCGTTGGGACGGGGGAGAGAAGGGCCGGCTCCACCCCCATCCTGTGAGGCCCCGCATGTTTCATCACTGCGGGCCCAAACCTGACTGTCCAGTGGCCTCTGGAGGATGATGGCCACTGGGCCTCCAGGAGGAACAGGCCAAGGCACAAAACCTATTCCCACATGGGGTGGCCCAGCACCGATAATCTACTGCAGGGACTGGATGCATTTCTGCCAAAAGTCGTTGGGTTTCGAGATTTGTTTCTGAGTCTCTTGAATCATGGCCATTAAGCAGTTCAATCAGGAATCAGAGAGTCCATGCCTCCAATTATATAGCTGAGCCAGAGGTGTTTTGTGGGCGTGACTCCCACATACCTAATTTTTGGCCATTTACTTTCTTGGTAAACTTTGCCCCAAGTTTTTGGGGTCTGGCCAAAGGCAAAGCAGCAATTTTGGGGCATCTGGAAGTCTGAAGACACCATCAGGCTGCTGATGCACTAGCCTCACAGGTACAGATTGACCTGCTGGCGGCACCATACCCCCAAAATGGTGATTCTTAAATGCAGATTTTTTTTAAGTCATGAAATGAAAACAAAAGAAAATGAAATATATTGTTCCTAAAAATAAAAACACATACATTAATTAGTAGCTACTTGAAATGTCTAAATATCAGGAAATTAAAGATGCCTAAATTTTTCTAGATTGGATTAGAACCAAAATAAATTAGCAGGGTGAAGTTGCAAATTTTATTATATACATTTCACTAAAAATTAGAATTTACTATTAGAGATTGTTTTGATGAACAAATCAAAGATCATTTAGGATGTACAGGAAGTAATGTACAGTAAGAGAAGAACTGAGTCCAGGACCCTGAATGTAGGTCCTACACAACTTTGAAAAAGGAAGTAGAGACTGTGTTGACCATATGGTATATAAGAAAGGGTGCATAGAAGAATCTTATACTAGAATCAGATGACCTGATTCACTGAGAGGCCTTTATTTCATGTCCCAGTCCCATCACACCGTGTGTGTGTGTGTGTGTGTGTGTGTGTGTGTGTGTGTTGAGAAGTTTTCAAATGGATTTCCATATGGGCTTGCATATGTGATAGAAAAAAATACTTATTTGACTTTGACTTCAAAAATATGTTGCATTTACTTGTTTTCTTTATAATAATTACTTGTGGGAAAAAAGAAATTTATTACTTAACTAAACAAGAGCAAAAAGTGGAAAACCATAGTTTGTATTTTAGACTCTACCAGTCGTAGCCTCCTACAAGTCATTGTTCTAATTTCACTTAGCTGCATTGAACATGTCCGGTATAATCAAATTCTTCATTATAGAAATTAGGAAGGAAATCAGTGTTCATCTTCAGAAAAGCTTCTGAATGGCATTTAATTTTAGTATATGCATTTCAGATGATGATGAAATACTGAAATATGGGCAAGGCATAAACATTTAAAATGAAATTTCAAAATAGTATAAACTAAACATAGAATTCCAAGAAAAAAACAGAAGGAATTGGAAAATTGAAAGTACTGGGGCTAGGAGATAGAACAACCATAATGTGCTTGCCTGCTACAGTCCCCTGATTCCTGCCAAGAGGGGGTTCTGAGCATAGAATCAGGAGTCATATATGAGCACTATCTCATGTGGCCCCAAAACAAACAAGAAAGAAGTTTAAAGGTGATAATGGGACACTCTTAAAAGTTAAAAATGTCTAATAAATACCGTAACACTTATCTGTATACATAATTTAACCACTTTAACAAGTTTTCCATTGAACTTTATAAACTCCATAATCTATTTTGGAAAAGTAAATAAATTTGCCTACTTCGATACATTTTACAGTTATGTCTTCATTATTCTAGTTTTTACTTCAGCCTTTTCATATTTGACATAACTGCAATATCCATGATAAATGGTATGCTCTTTAGCATCCCTATGTTGCTACTTTTTTTCCTGAAACACAACCATGGCACTGTATTTGCTGAGAGATCAGGGAATCATTGTGCAAAAGTGTATTTGGCAGAGATTTCTGAGTTGTAACTCTTCCAAATGTCTACCAATCAAGACAATAAGGAAACTTTCCTTGACAGTATTTTCTTGAAATAAATCTAATAACTGGGGTTAACAGCCAATCAACACAAAAAACGTCAATTCCTAATGAGGGTGGGGCTCTTCCTTGGGTATTCATGGGCTGGATATATAAGAAGGGGCTTATGTGCATACACTCCACTTCTCTCTCCTATTCCTTCTAACCTCACTCTCAGTCACTATGAAGAGCATCACAGTTTGTGCTGTCCTTGCTCTGGCAACTTCTGCCTGGGCTGCTTCTCCTACTGGTGAGTCCCAATTACCCTCTGAAATCCATGCTTTTATATTAATTACAGTATATTCCATCTTTAAAAATAGATTTTCACTTGGATTGCCTGACTAACAAAGTCATGTACATGAGGCATTCATGAAAAAAGGAAACTATAATGGGATGAATAATAAAGGGATTATGGAGGTCTACTCAGGTTTCTGACATCCTTCCAGAATCAACATAAGAAACTCCAAAATCATTGCCTAACTGAACTCCGGAAATATCCAGGGGACTTTCTTCAACCACCAGGGATTTCTCATTTGGGATTTCTCTCACCAGGTTCATATACTTCCCAGTCTTCATTATGAGCTACCTCTGAATAAATAAGTGATCTTTCTTAGGTATAGGCTAAGCCAGGGATAGGAAAATAGTTTTCAGTGATTATAAAAAATGAATCCTGCTTGCATTTCTAACTCTGGAATTTGTGTGTGTGTTTTTTTCCCAATTGCATCGCAATTTGCTTTCTTCTGAAAATGAAGCAAAGGGGTCATGGGTGAGTACAGCCTTCTCTCTTTCTCTCTCTCTTTCTCTTTGTTTATATATATATATGTATATGAAGATGAAAAATGAAAGATGCAAATATGAAATCCAAGCTATTGGGTGAAATTTATTGTGGAAGTTGTTCATCTGACCCTTGGCAGGAGGAGGTTTGAGCATTAAAATAATTTCCTTAGGAAGTGAAGCTACTCCTAAACTTTTTCTTTTGAGTAACATTTTAACTTTTTGCAGTGTGTGTGTGTGTGTGTGTGTGTGTGTGTGTGTGTGTTTGTGTGTGAGTGTGTTGGGGAAATACCTGGAGACACTCAGAAATTTAAGCTTAAGGATCATTCCAGGTGGGCTCAAGAGACAATTTGGAGTGCCAGGATTTGTACCCAGTCCAGCCATGTTCAAAGCAAGAACCTTAACAATTCTTCAGAACCTTTTGCAGGGATTTTCACAATCATTATTCAGTTGGACATTATTCATGTCCCTTGAAATAAAACATTAATATTTATATCTTAGACTACAAACCTTGTTTTATTTAAAGTATTTTCTAGGTCTGAATTATTTGTGTAATATGCACAGTCCTGATTCATAGCAGATATTTCATATTTATTCGCAGAAAAGTGTAAGTCTCTAGGGCTCTTCCCACTTTTCTGTTGAGCATTTCAAGATTAGAATAACTGAAAGTTTGAAGGAAAATAATCTAGGACTCTGGGTTTTATTCTTTCAATTATAGGTGGATTGCTCTATGTACAGTGGGAAAGGTTCCGGGATTGCATGCACAAGAATATACAAACCAGTATGTGCTTCAGATGGGAACACTTACAGTAATGAATGCATGCTTTGTATGAAAAACCAGTAAGTATGATTCTCAACTTGGAATGCCCCACCCTCACTTTCTAAAAAGGTCACCAAGCCCATACTGGCCAAAAACTGCTTGGTTTTTTAAAACATGGTTTTATAAATCCCCCCTTTTGTTATAGTCTGCCAATAAATTTTGGGTATGTTTTACCAACACAAAAATTGTAATAAATTTAGTTATGTCTAAGGATGTAAACTACAATATAGTCAAATAGTAACATTTATACTTTTGGATTTTAGGTACTAAATATAGACATTTGTGCTTCCATATGGTACTTAGGAAGTTGGTTCTCAGAATATGTCTTTTGGACAAACTTTTATAGATTTCTGCCCTTGCATTTTTCTTGTTCTATGATGAAAACTCAGAGGACTATTTAGGCTGTTAGTCACAGACTATAAAACTTCAACATTAAACCTCATACTCCAAAAGAAATCCACATTTTTTTTCTATCAGAGAAGGTGGAGTCTCAGCTATCACAGAACTCACAAATTAGTAAAATACTAAGTCCTCACAATTCTCACAGACTGAGCTTCTAGGAGAATGAAAGAAAAGTAATTACGTTTACAGTCTGGAAATCTGAATTCACTACTTCATGATTTGTGGTTAGAATTCTGGGCTTAGGACATATGGATTGTATTCTAGTTAGCACTTAGGATATCTAAGATATTAGCTAAATACCTTACCCACTACAATTTTCAGTATTCTGATCTGCATGATAGAAGTTACAGTAGTATGTTGTACTGTGATGAAAATGTGTCAAATTTACATAAACCTTTGACACAATGTGAATACTCAGAATAAAGTCTTTCTACCTATCATTTTCCTCTGTTATGCTATTATTTTTTAAATAGTATTTCTAAAAATTTTCTATCAATTATAATATTAAATGTTAATTCGAATTAAAATTCTCAAAATATGCAAATTTTATAAAATTTGCATAAAACCTCAAAAACTGCAATTGAATTTAAGCATATTTTTTTCCTATGCTACAAAAGTGTATCCACACTATACTGCATCTTTCATTTTCATCTGAACATTCATAAACTGTTTTCAAACATTATCAACCTCCTTTTTGTTCTCTTATTATTTTTTGTTTTTTTGCAAGAAGCTTTTTTTTTAAAACTACTTTTAAAAATCATCAAAGATTTTGATGGTCAGTATCAGTCAAGCTGTATTCTATTAACTAGAACTCATTCTCATTTCACTTCAGCAACAAAAATCAACATGTTTCTGTGTTATTATGAAATACCAAGAAATTGCATTTATATTTAACAAATTTTTTTCTTTCAGACAATTAAAAAATGTCGTTCTCAGAAAGATGAATGATGGTGAATGTGTAAGTATTTTCAGAAATATAAAAATAAGCAAATTTTTCTTAATATATAATATATGCAATCATTTCTCACTTTCAAAGAGAGAAGCTATTTTAAAGTAAGTATTCTAGAAATTATCTGTAAGCATGTATAGTCATAAAGAGGACATCTTATCAATCTAAACAGAAGACCTGAAGTATATCATTACTGATTTATCATAGGAAGACTCCACAAACTTTACTTGGTGAAGTTGGTTTACAGGTTTTATTTTCCAAGACTGTCGCTAATTATCAGATTAAGAAAGGGAGTTCAAGAAACATTACGTATTCAAATGCATGCTCATAGTAAATAAAAGTTATAAAGGAAAAGCATAAAGTAACACAAAGATGAACCAGAAGAAAGAACTATGTGAATGGAATGCCAATAATTTTGATAGTGTTTAAATTTTATAAAAAGGGCCGTAGACCTAGTAGAGAGGGTAGAGCACTTAACTTGCATGTGGCTGAGTTGGGTTTCATCCCCAGCATTGAATATGGTTCCCTGAGCACCACCAGGAGTGATGAGTACAAATCCAGGCTTTATTCCTGAGCATTTATGGGTGTGATCTCCCCTCTCAAAAAAATGTTATATATTTGTAAAAATAAGATGATAAAAGACATGATTTTAAGGTGAGGTGTCTAGCCCAATTTAACAGATGAAAGAAAATGTTACCATGAATTGGTCATAAAAAATAGCCTACATTGTCATTAAAAAGATCAGGGATTGGGGCTCGAACAATAGTACAGCAGGTAGGGCATTTGTCTTGAATGCGGCAGACCTAGGTTTGATTCCCAGCATCCCATATACTTCCCTGAGCACGGCCAGGAGTAATTTCTGAGTGCAAAGCCAGGAGTAACCCTTGTGCATTGTGAGGTGTGACCCAAAAAGTAAAAAAAAAGGTATCAGGGATAAATCTGATGCAGCCATAATGAAATACAGAAGAGCATCATGAGCAAAGGTATCAGGATGTGCAGAACAGTAACTACCCCAGGAATTCAGTCATTCACTTTAGCTAGAATACAGAGCAGATACATTTTTTCTCACTAGAATGCAAGGCAGACAATTCTGGAGATACTATATGAGTCACACAAGAACATTATTGATGAGTAGAGTATTTTAAAAGCAAATCTAATTTGTTATTTTTAAAGATAGGTGGCAGTTGACTGATATACATAAAGTAAGTAAATTTCTGATACAGTCAGTAAATTGACTGACACATGCAGTTGTGTATATTAGACATATTAAGAGCTTCAATAACGTGAATGATAGTATGGTGATGAGAAGAGTAATTTGGATATTAAGAACAAGATAGGATCTCTAGGATATAGTTGTCACCTAGATGCAGAGAATGAGTTAGACTGAGTCCTCTATGTGGACTTGTTATCCTGGCCCAGCTTACGGAAACAGCAGAGGATGTGTCTTTCCACATATGAGATTTTGGAATAAATGATCTATTCCTTACTATAATTTGAAAATTCAATTTTTAAATGATCCAATGTTTTAAGTCATTAATTCTTTTTTTCTATTTTTAGTCTACTGCTCAATCTACTGTTCAACAGGATGAACTTGATTGCTCTGGATATTCTGCAGCATGTACCATGGAGTATAAGCCTCATTGTGGATCTGATGGAAATGTATATTCCAACAGATGTATGTTTTGCAATGCTGTTCGGTAAGTGTTAATATTAATATATTAGTTATAAAAGTAGAACCTCTCAGAGATCCAGAAGACATCTTAGTTCTCTCTAATAAACGAAATACTTCTAAGAAACTGACGATAGAAATGGTTCACTAATGATCACAGTTTCTCACCCTAAATGAGAAGAGGAGGAGGAGGAGAAGAGAGAAGAATGGGAGAGAGAGGAAGAGAAAATAAGTAGTGAGAACAATCTGGAGTGAAGTGAGAAAAAAGAAACTTGTTAGTATATATTGTTAAGTGGTGTGTAAAAGAAAATTTACAGATTTGTTTTACTAAACTGAAGCTCAGTAACTAAATGTTCATCTTAAATACTATATGTTCATTAAAAAAATTTTACATAAAAGAAGGACAGAATGCTTTCATTTAGATTTTTAAGAAAGCTTTCATTCAAGACTTTCAAAGCCTTTCTTTCAAAACAAACCAGGCTTATGCAAGTTCTTCTTTGAATATGTATCTCACTTGCTTGTCTCTCTCTTTGCTTGCTTATTTCTGCTCTGGTGAAGACTGGGTTCTGTCTTGAATACATTTCTCTCTTTCTCTCCTCTCAAATCTTTCTAAGCACGTTTTGTTCAACAAAAATAACCTTGCTTCACACAAAAATATATATCTGCAAAATATATGTATACATATCTGCAATAACTTTTTTCTTTTGTAGGAGGAGTCGTGGTGCATTAACTCTCAGAAACCAGGGAGAGTGTTTGTCTTCCAAATCACAGTGAATTTCCACCCTGGTCCTCATAACAGCCCACTTATAACATGACACCAGCTTCCTTCTTTCAGAAGTTGCCACACAAAGAACTACTTTCTCTAGAAAGGCTGGGGGTTCGGAGGGACATATAGGTCTGATTCTTCAATAAACGTTTATCAGCAGACACCTGGCTGGCTGGTCTCTGTGCATGTGATTTCCATCTTAAGGAGACTATTATAGTCATTTTTCTAAACAGTAAGGCAAAGGGAAAGGTTTCTTCTATTTCTCCCCAGGTTGGGAGCTGGAGAGATTATAAATATACTGCTGGGGAAGCATCTACTCATAGCATCACACTTTTCATATAAAAGAATCAATTTTAAAAAATAGGCCCTACCCTAAGTGGTCTTAGGGGTTCCTTGGGCCACTTCCTATTGGTGTTCTGTTGAGTGATGCAGTGCTGCTCTGCATGGGGACCACCAGCAGCGTGATGAACCAGGAATCTCACTCAGAACCTCAAATCACTGTGAAATTTCACCCTGATCCTCATAACAGCCCGCTTAGAAAAGATTCAGGATTTGGGTTTTTGGTTGTTGTTTTTCTTTACATAAACATGGATCAAAAAGTGGACACGATTATTAGAGTAACATTATCTTTAACTACACTCTAATGCACTGCAGCAATGTCCTCCCATTGTTCATCAATTTGCTTGAGGGGGCACCAGTAATGTCTCCATGGTGAGAGTTGTTGTTACTGTTTTTGGCATATCAAATATGCCTTGGGAAGCTTGCCAGGGTCTGCCATGTGGGCAGGATACTCTTGGTAACTTGTCAGGCTCTCCGAGAGGGACAAAGGAATCAAACCCTGGTCGACTGCATGCAAGGCAAACACCCTACCAACTGTGCTATCACTCCACTAATGAAAAGTGGAAAATTCTGGACTTGGCATAAAGATACAGGAAGAAGATTAATTTACAATATTATAAATTAATCAGAATAGACATCTGCTTTTTAATCTTACCATTTAAGGAGAATTCTAATTTAGAAGACAACCATATAAGAAGTCCTCTGTGATCATTTGGGGAAGAGATTATAAAAAATATGGTAAGATTAAATGTTGCAATCAGTAAGAATGCCTGAGGAAGCATAAGGTAACTGGGAAAGATGAGGGCATAGTTCAGGCTGTCATGAACAGGAAAAGCAGAATCTTCTCAAGATTCCAGAGACTGTGACAGAAAGAGAGAGAGAAAGACACACAGAAAGACAGAGAAAGAGTACTTAGGTTGTTAATGCACCATGCAGTCATAGAGATTTCACTTTAGTAAAAGAATTCTCTAATAATGAGTTTGAAAAAGATAAGAAATATATGACCTATAGATGCATCTGCCAGAAGAACAGGGCTTTTTATTGCACAGGCTGGTCTTTAAGAAGCAGCCTCTAACTAGGAAAAAAATGTCACTTCACTTTTTGAGAGTTCTAGGAATACTTTCTGGTGTTATTTGAACTAAATGATTCACTGTGACCTGTAATTTGGAAACTATACCCAGATTCTCTCTGGGAGAACCCATCTTATTCTAATTTGACTAAATCTAAAGTTTTGGTTAAAATCTTTAGGGATTTCAATTTAAAAAATCAAATAAATATGGCAGGGCCTCTTTCCTGTACTTTTCTCCATCCAGCAGCTGGAGCCATTATTCCCTTTTGGATTCTATTAAGAAGGCTCGTGAGCCTGAACTGGAATGCCCAGCACCCAGGATCCCTATTCCTGGCCTCTGTAGGAGGATCTCGACTGTGTGGCCTCTAGGATTTTTCCCTCTGATTGAGCTCCCTAAATGTCCTACCCTCTTCACCATGAGGGCGGAAAGGGCAGAGGGGGTGGGGAGGGTGACCTCAAAATAACACCTGCACACCTTTTTATTATTTTTGGTGTTTTTAAATTGTTTTTTTTTTTATTGAATCACCATGAGATACAGTTACAAAGCTTCCATGTTTGAGTTTTAATCATACAATGATTGAACACCCATCCCTCCACCAGTGCACATTTTCCACCATCAATGTCTCCAATATCCTCTCCCTATCCCACCCCTCCCTGTGCCTCTATGGCAGACCATTTCCCCCATACTATCTCTCTACTTTGGGGCACTATGGTTTGCAATACAGATAGGGAGAGGCTATCACATTTGATGCTATAGCTACTTTCAGCACACATTTACCATCCCAAACAATCCCTCCTACCATCATTGACTTAGTGATTCCTTCTCTATTCCAGCTGCCTTCTCCCCCAGCTCATGAACCAGGCTTCCAACTATGGAGCAATATTCTTGGCTCTTGGCTCTACAGTCCTTGGGTGTTAGTCTCATATTATGTGATTTTATATTCCACAAATGAGTTCAGTCATTCTATGTCTGTCCCTCTTTTTCTGACTCATTTCACCTAGCATGATACTCTCAATGACCATCCACTTAGAAGCAAATTTCATGACTTCCTCTTTCCTAACAGTTGCATAAGTTGCATATTATTCCATTGTGTAGATGTACCAAAGTTTCTTTAACCAGTCATCTGTTCTCAGGCACATGGGTTGTTTCCAGATTCTGGCTATTGGCTGCACACCACTAATCATTTATCACCTAAGGTGTCCTCTTGTAAGAAGTTCTTAGCCACCATTCCTGAAATCTGTGTATCTCAAAAAATACAGAACTGAAGAAACCCCAGACAGCTCCAGAGTTCATTTCACAGCTGCCGTACAGATCCTAATGTGTCCTGGAGTCAAAAGGCAGGAGTGAGAAATTCCTTTTTGTGAATCTGCTCTATAGGAGAAGCCAAGTTCCATCCCAATTGCAAGCCTTCTGGGTCCCTGCCCTTGGGGAGGTTCTTTCAGACCCTTAAGTTTTTTCTTTCTGATTTAGAATAAATTTCCCCCAACTGCGCCCCTCTTGGAGAGCCCAGAAAGCTACAGAGAGTATCCTGCCCACCTGGCAAAGCCTGGCAAGCTACCCGTGACATATTCGATATGCCAAAAAACAGTACAAAGTCTCACAATGGAGACATTACTGGTGCCCACTCAATCAAATTGATGAACAATGGGAGGACAGTGCAGTGCAGTGTTACTCTTTCACTCTCATGTCTTGTGCTCTAGTCTTTCCGGACACAAGAAAACATGCTAACACTTAGCTTAGACTGTTTTTGCTTCACTTTTACTTATTTAACATGCGGGATTGGTAAAATATATTGGTTTGCTAGGTAGTAATATGAGGGTAAATGAGGAATTTGACTGATTTCTGAATTTAGATTGAGAAATTTCATATGTTAGATATCGTTTCCTCAGGTTGTTTTTCATGTAGAAGTACTTGCTTCATGACTTTTCCCTGGCATGATAATAAGCTTCATTAAGGAAGGAATGTGCCCTTCTCCTGTTGGAGGAAGACAGAGGGGTTTTCTGGTGCTGAATACTGGAGTTGCTGTATGAATAAAGAGACACTAGAGACCCAGCGGATGTTAGGGGTATGATGCTTACACTCATTAGCTTGCATCTGCTATCACATCTTGGAGGCCCTGAGTGCTCTGCCCCTCTCCAGTTCCAAGTCAACTTTCTTTTTTTATTTTTTATTTATTGAATCACCGTGAGAACAGTCACAATGCCTTTCAGTTTAAGTCTCAGTTGGTCATACAATGATGAAACACCCATTCCTTCACCAGTGCTCATTTTCCACCACCAAGAACCCCAGTATACCCCCCTCCCACCCCTCCCCCTGCCTGTGTGGTAGATTTCCACTTTCTCTCTCTCTATGTTGATCACATTCAATATTATGACAAAATTATTTTTGTCCATTATTATTTGGAATTTTCCCCAACAATCAGACCTGCCAAAAAGATATCATTAGATAATTTGTTTTCTATTGCTGATTATGAAGAGCATATGATATCACACGTCTCCTACTGCGGTCACGAGATTTTGGATTTCTGATATTCTAGTAATAAGTCTGAAGAAATTACTGTCAAAAGCTGCTGGGTTCTGAGATTGGTTTGTGTGCCTCTGGGATCATGGCCATTCAGGACCCAGAGGAGACGTTCATGGGTGGCAACTCAGGGCCTTTTCAGGGTGGGGAGCAGAGCCGGTACCACCCCCAATCAGCCCTTGAGGCCCCGTGTGCCTCATCACTGCAGTCTCATACCTGGCTGTCCATTAGGCTCTGAAAGATAGCGGCCACTGTGTCACCACCATCAGGGGGAAAAGGCAGACAGACAAACACCCTTCCCCTCCCCGGGCAGCATGGCACATAGTTTAATGCACACTCCAGATGCATTTCGGTTGGGCATTATAGTTTACTCGAATTTTCCCACCACCATTCAAGCCTGCATTCCAGGGACAGATGCTAGATAATTTACTTTCCATCGCTCACTTTGCGTATCAGGAAAGGTTATGCGGCCGTGAGGTTTGGAAGAATAGTCCTCTTGTCCACATACCGGATCCATGCTTGTAGAAGCTCATGGTCTCCAGGATTCTATCTGGAGAAGGCAGGGAAACAGCACCTGCCCCATCTGAGACCTCCCAGTGATTGGCTTGGTACAGGCCCAGAGAATTCTCCAGGTGTTGTGGAGCCCACCGGCCAGACTTCCTGACGGCTGTGTGCAGCAAGATAGAGCTGGGGGCGGGTTGAGGATATGGCTTCTGGGTCAGGGGCTGACTGGAAGCTGGATGGAACTTCCTGGTCCAGAGTCCCTCTGCAGTTTGGAAGAATAGTCCTGGTGCCCACATACTGGAGCCATGCTTGCAGACGCTTATGGTCACTGGGATTCCATCTGGAGAAGGTGGGGAGACAGCACCTGCCCCATTTAGGACCTCCGGGCGATATTGGCTTGGTACAGGGCCCAGAGAATTCTTTGGGTGTTGTGGAGCCCACTGGCCAGGTTTCTTGACTTCATGTCAACTTTCTTGAGCTGACTCTTGTGTCTACACCCTGCTGAGTGGGTCCTCTGTTGCACAGGGCATACAGGTGGTGCCACCTACTGGAGAGCAAGGCGCATGGCCTAAGAT